TATATATAATAATTATTATTATTTATTTATTTTTTACCTCTGTCATTACTTATTTGCTACGTGTGGAATTGTGGAAACATTACTCTCTCCATTATACATTTTGTGCACTGTTCGTCATCCCGATTATCTGCAAAGTGTAAAGCTGTGTACAGTTTTTAACATAAGACAATTACCATCCTTAGCATATTTGCAGGGGTTGGTTGGACATTGAGCCTCAGTTCATTATGTCTGTTCACAATAAATTTCTTGATGTCCTCATTCTCACATGAGTACTTGGAAAAGAATTCATCCTGGAATATAGATAAGAAATGTTTCACTGTCAGAATGAGAGATAATTAATATTTACTGAGCTTCACTTACTTACCATCAGATATGGTCTCCGAATGCCTTAGAAAGAATTAAAAACAATTGCACTTAAACGTTTTCCAGTTAAAAGTTTTTCAGTAAAACTTTAATTGTAAATCATCACATTGTGTTCTGTCTCAAATGTCACTTAATACAAAAGACATACCTCCTAAGACCCAGTCTATGTGGGCAATATGGCAACTTGCTGACTCAACAAGATCCACAGGCAGTGCCAACTCACCAAGAAGTAGGATTCAATGTAGTTGTATTCCCATTCAGCAATGTATAATATGTTTGTCATGCTTTTTTGTAGGTGAAAATACATTACTATTTTAAGGTCTATTTACTCAGCGAAGCTGAAACATAAACTATCCCTGAGCATGTAAAGGCTGGGCTTATCTAACAACGGCTGTTGGTAAGAGGCATCCTATGATGAGCAATAGGTGAAAAGTGGTCTATGTCTGCAAAGGGTGGGGTTGAATCTCAGACACTCTTGATCAGAGTGCATGTTGGGTGCTGCAAGATGTAGCCTGGGGCACTACTAAATTGTGCAGCTCAGAATCCCTTGGTGGTGTCTATATGAAGAGAGTATGTAATGATTCCATGTTCCATTTAACATATGACCTTCTGAGCCTGATTAGAAGTTTCCCACTCTTCTCCCCGGAAGTTCCGGTATTGGAGGTAAGTATCAGAGCATTTGGGGGAGTATGAGTACTTGCCTATATACTCGGTATCGGCACCGATACCGGTACTAGTATCGGTATTGGTGCATCCCTACTGGATAGTGAGGAACATCTACAGTATAATGGACTTGAATGGTAGATATTGAGGACCATTAATGATGGAGTTTCGTTGCGTCAAAATGACATTAGGGGGAACAAAAATGACAGTCTGCAGAAGATGAAAAAAAAAAAGCCTGAGGTTCCCCCCCAATTCATACCAGACCCTTTAAGTCTGGTAGGAATGTTAGGAGAATGCCAATTCAAAAGCAAAGGGAAAAAAAAAAAACTTTAAACCTGACTAGCCCTGGAATTGAACCTAGAACCTTAGCAATGGCTAGCCTGTGTTTTAACCACTACTCTATAGCCTCTGTACTGTAAGTATGGATGTGTGGCTTCCTAATGTCATTCTGCTGCAACGAAATACGTCCAATAACGAATTTCGGGAAATCGGGAATTTCGGATTCGTTTGCATTCGTCTTAGCTGTAATTCGGAATTCGGATGCATCCGAATCTCCGAATTTCTGAAAATTCGTCCAAAACGAATTTCGGAACGAACCGAATCGCACATGTCTAGTACTGATGGTATAAGCAATATAGGGTAATTGTATCACTGAATAGTATAGTGAATTGTCGATAAGGGTGTTCTTTACAGGAGAAAAAATAAAACACATGCAAGTAAATAGTGGGAATACAAAGAACTACTTGCAAGAAATTCACCATCATAAACTTACCTGACAAACAGATTCTTGAAAGGATAGGATCAAAAACAAAGAGGAAAATGAAAGGGATGCCAACAGGTTCATCTGCAGGCACAAAAAAATATAATAAATAATTGCTTTAAATGTTACTTGATAAGTCATTTATATGTTGTATACAGAGAAACTGGGACATGTCAATAAACAGAGGAGGGGAGCCTTCAACACAACGTTTCACTCCCATAAAATGCTATTTTTAAACCCTTACCCCAAGAGTTTTACCATAATTGGCCAAACACACACACAGTTAACACATGTCATAGACTTTAAGTGAACCAAGTCAATTGGATCATGTAATCAGAGCAGGTTAGTTACATTGTCATTGTCATCCTCCCACTGCAGGAGGAAGAAGAAGGCAAAGAGGACCCACCGGTGGACATTTGTAAAAAAAGGTATCTATTTTTTTTTTTTTAAAGCTGCAGTAGTATCTTATGGGGGTAGGAAAAGAAAGGTGGAAACCCAACTCCCTTGTTGGGATTTAAATTTGCATTTGCTCTTACCCCTTCACTACCTCAGACTGACTGACATCAGAGAAGAAAGAATAACCACCCTCTTGTACGAGGCCTACTGACTTAGTCCTTAGCAAAGGGCTGCTGCAGACACATACACTGAGTGGCCAGATTATTATGACCACCCCATCAGTACTTCGTTGGGCCGCCTCGTGACTCCACGAGATGATGAAAGGTGATGCAAGAATCTGACACGGCACTGTTGCCCTTCTGTTGTCTTGTACCAGTCTTGCCACTCTCCGTTCTGCCCTAACATTGATTAGTCGCTGACGGCCACAATTTGCACGTTCAGACCCAGATTTTCCGCTGACAGTCCGGTCTTTAAACACTCTAACAATGAGCCCCTCTTGAAAATTTAACGAATTATGCTGTTTTGCTGATACTCGCTCCATGGCTCCGAGCGCCAACAATCATCCGACGCTCAAAGGCTGTTAAATCTCGTTGTTTCCCCGTATCTTCAGAAATCACTTCTACTGTCGTGGTAAACAACCTGCTTCCCTATTTATAATGGTCTGGCCCTCTAGAAACTTCAGCGCCAAATTATAGCTAATTTGGCTACAAACGTCAGGTGGTCATAATAAACTGGCCACTCAGTGTATATACAATGTATCTTACAACACTTCATGTGAGCACCATCATATACCACAACCTAGCTGACATATCAGAAAGTGACTTCAAAGGAAATATGAGATTTCCCTAAAGAATTGTACAGGAATCCCATTTGCACTAAGACCCACCCCATTTCAGGGTCATGGCTAGAACATGTTGCTGCAGCACCACTTCACACATTGGGGAAAATAAATCAAATGTTATTCTGGGTCCGCGGCAATTTAATCTTTTTTCCTGGTTCAGATCTATTCTGCATAGGAGTTACAAGAGGCCACACTCGGGCAAAATTGAAAGCGACACTAAACACAAGAGGCAAATCTTAAAAATGTATTCATGCACTCTAACTATGAACAACAATGTATCTTATTTGTGTATCACTCGGCTGTAGATCCTCCAATCATCTCTGAATTGGTGCTGACACTGTACTTCCTTTTGGAGGGGGGCTACTTTTGTTCCCCATGGTCCCTGTGTGTGTTGGAAAGTAGTCACCGGGGGGCGCATGCTCGCGGCTGATGACGGAGGTAGCCTTCTGAGACGGCTCCGCAACTCACCCAGGCAATCCCGCTCGTAATACGGAAGTCCGCCCTACACACCCGCAATTTTACCCCAGCCGACGATCGGAATCCTCCCGGCATTGGAACATGTCGTCCTCGGCGACCAAATCCTCACAGAAGGGGAAACAACAGCCGATAACAGAGGCGATGGCAAGAGCTGCAGCCAAGATGGCGCCCGCGGCCCGCTCTCATGAGGTAAACCGCACAGCCTCAGTGTCCAGCAGTGACATGGACGAGGGGGATCTTGATCTACATGAAGGGGACAGACCCCGCAAAAGATCTCAGACGGCCCTTTTACAAAGATTCGACACTATGCTACAGAAAGCACTTCAATCCACCTCAAAACAAATCACTGACAGGCTGCTTAAGGAGATCAGAGACATAGGCCACCGCACAGCAGCGTTGGAAGACAAGTGCGATGAATTTAAAACAGAGTTATCCACATTTAATGGGGACATAGAGTCCCTCCGTGAGGAAAATTTACAACTCACATCCAAGCTTGAGGATTTAGAAAACAGGTCCAGACGCTCTAACCTTCGCATCCGCGGGCTGCCAGAACATATAGTGGATCTGCACTCCACAGTTACAGCGCTCTTTCAGGAGCTGGCCCCTGACATACCTATGGAGCGATTGGAGATAGAGAGGACCCACCGAACTCTGACCCGCAGACGCCCAGATGGACCACCCAGAGACATTCTGGTCAAACTACACTATTACCGTACTAAAGAGGCCCTAGCTACGGCTGCCAGGGCCAAAGCGCAACAAGGCCCACTGTCATTCCAGAACCACGAATACCAGGTGTTTGCGGACCTGGCCCCTTCAACTATAACCAAAAGAAGGTCCTTACGCCCCTGCCTTGATGTTCTCTCCAAACATCACATCCCATACAAATGGGGATTTCCCTTCCGGCTGCTATTCTCCCATGGGGGTAAACACCACTCCTGCACCACATTGGAAGAGACTCAACGCAAATTGGCCGAACTAGGCCTAGAAGATCCACACTCTATGCATCTGGACCCCCAACACTCCCCCGCTCTCTCCTCCAAGCGGTCCAGAAGTGACTCAGACCAAAACCACTCTGGAGAGTCACGCCGCCCTGCGGTCAAGATGTCTACCAAAAACCCCTCGACACGCTGATATATCCTCGGTACCTGATGCCCGGCTGTCCGCTGTCGTTCGCCGCGAGATGAGCCAAGAGAAGGTTGTGACCCTATTCAGAAGTTTACCCCGTGGAGACCCCTTTCTCTTAGTCTCCAGGAGACCGATACAAGCACTGTTTCAAGTGAAGGACTTTGCAGTCTATGTCCAGGACTTCCGGGTCGCCATGACAAATTTTTGGCCCTCAGGGCAAGATGCTTCGACGCCTGACACTGCTCGAAGAAATACCCCTCCCCACATCCCCTCTCATCACAACATAGACCAGCTCAACTTTAACATCTCGCAGTTTCTACCAGCTGATCT